AAAAAACAGGTTAGTGACATATTTTTAAAATTCAATTGGCTGCAAAGCTTCTTTCAGAACCGGCATTGTTCTATTGTTTTTTTTTCGAAGAAAAAAAAAAAAAAAAAAACACATTTTAAAATGATAAAAATCCTCAAATGTTTCATTGAATTACGTGTCTGACATCTCTGCCGTGCTCCACTGTGCTGCGCTGGACTGCGATTTGCCAGTCTGCATTTCTGTGGGCGTGACTACAAAAAAAGTCTCTGCTGTCTGATGTTTGAAGGACAAACTGCAGATAAATGATCCACTGAAAACAAATCGTGGGCTAAATCTGTGATTTCAAGGTTTATGGCTGCATTGAAATCCGAGAGACATATATCTTGGTGATTTAATTACTTTTTCTGGATACTTGGTTTTCTCAAATTTTACTTTGGTATTCCGAACAGCAGTCAAATCTATCCTTACTTCATGTAAAATTATAAGTAACATTCACCTATACTAACACGTTGAGTGATGCAACGGTACCTGAACCAAATCGCTACTAACTTTCCTGAATCTCTGAACCTCACTTTCTGGGATGTTTTTCTTGGGGTGACGCCTGGTTTCCTGTGTGCAGCGATCTTGGAATGGGAGTTGGCCCCATTGTTACACTGATCAATGAGTACAAGTGCTGAGTGCAAAAGGACTGGCCCCTACATGTCAAAACTGAAAAGTGAATTAAACCTTCAAGTAGACCAGAATTAATCTTTTAGATTCCAAAAGATATGCTCTTCCCTATTCAGTTCTGCACTGAACTTCAAAATTACCAAAATGAAGTTCGCCCACTCTTGTTCTCAGTAGGCTAAATATGAATGATGGATGTTGCTCCCTTTACAATAAAAAGAAAAGGAATTGCATCAGGCTCTTACAGTGCATTTTTAATGAGTCATCAGTAAAATGAATAAAAACGATCAGCAGGTATTTTCTGGTTTCCTGTTGTCAATTTGATGGTGAAATTAAATCTGTTTGACATAAAACAAAGTGGTCGGGGCTGTGGCATGCCAGTGCATCTGTTTAGTGTGCCAGCATGCAGCCAGCATAGAAAGAAAGTAGATGCCACTTTAAAGAGGATCACGCAGGAATGTGCATGATTTGGTCTGGATGTCACGCACATGTTTTGGCTTACAGGCCACCAAAACATGTTGACAATGTTGATGATGATGTAGTGTGCAAAACAGTCCTTTAGTAGAAATGTAGTAGCAAGAGGAGATTTGTTATTAGTTGTTTTCCTTGCAAAAGAGGAGCAATTCCAGGGTGAAGGCTGTCTGCAAAGTCTTCCGAATAAGAATGACACCGGAGCCGCTGTCACATTTATACTAATAAACAATTCACAAACACACCACTGTTGATGTTTACTCAGCTGCAGGAGTCCAGAGATATTTGTAAGGTGGATGAAGGCAGAATTGGTGATGTGGAATTGAAATGATATCTTGAAGCCTGGAATAATCTCCAGGTTGCAGAGTTTCGGAGAAGGAAGGGTGGTTCATGGAGATGTCTCCAACCTTCCTCAGCAGCGCCTCAGGGGCCGCAAACATGAACACCGTCTTGACAGAAATTAGATTCATTTGATGCGAGCTCGGTCCGTCAGGGTCTCTCAAAGCAAATCAATTCAAATTTATTTCAAGAGCACTTTAACTACAACCGCAGTTGTAATGTGTTGTACGCAAACCATAAAAAACAAGAAATGTTATGTTATTTTCTGTGTGTTTCCATATGGTTGCTGATGTTTGAATTGTGATTTTTATGTGGAGGAGGGCATGTGCAATTTCATTGTTTTTTCATGCAATGACAATAAAACGACATTTGAATTAAAAAGAAATTATACATTCATAAAAAGCAAAACGAAATTATTTTCCAAATTAAATATGCAAGAGCTCCTGTTACGTTTGCAGTAAGCCTGAAGTCGGCGCAGTTTTGTTTCCTCTTGTTGCGAGAAGCTGTTAGTAGATCAGAGAGGAGCAAGATTGAAGTCTCCAATGACCAGTATGAGGGCGCCAGGATACACAAATTGTAATCTCGTGATCACAGTGTGAATGACGTCACTCATGTTTGCTTCAAACTGGGTTTGAATGTAAACAACTGTGTCGTTGGCGTGTAACGTACATACAGGAGCATTGGTTTATTTCCCTGTTCCATTTAGTCCTGTCTTTCGCTTCAACTTCACTTTATTTTATTTTAGCCCCATTTAGCAGATGTCCATGTTGGGGTGAAGCTCCTCCTGGTTGTTGCGTCCCAGACAAGTGGAAAACATCCCTTAGCACTGAAAACAGTCCAAAGTGGCTTAATATGACGTACACCAAACATTTAATAATAATAAAAAAACGGGTAGAAGATTACAAATCAAGGAGACAATTAGCAGAGCGGTTGTAACAGGCTGCCAACTCATTGGCGCCTCTTTCATCAATTTTTACCGTCAGGCTCCTCCATACTTGTCTGATCTGATGTCATTTTATAGTCCTGTTAGGTCAGTGTGTGACTGGATTGTCCTTAATGTTCGTCACACAAGATTAACAAGTAAAGATGATAGTGCCTTGGCCCCAAATTGTGAAATGCGGTTCCAGTTGAGCTAAGTGATCCGCTGTATGTGTACGTTCTATACCTGTGTTTAGTTTAACTGTAAACTTCAACTGGGAGTGGCATCAAACAACCCGAAGTCTCTCTTTGAAGAATTGTTCAGTATTTGCCAAAGTGCTGCTTATTGTGACGCGAGTTAATTTTCCTTCCCTTATAGAGCCTTCCTATGTCAATGTTGCACTTGCAATTCTCAGCAAAAAAAACGGCCAAATGAGGACTGTAAAAAAATGACCGCGTAAAGCCGCAAAATGGCAGAATTATGAAAGACAACTGCACTGTTTTGCGACTCTGTGTTCGAATTCACTCTCTGAGAAGTGATTCAGAAATAAAATATGTGTGTGTGTGTGTGTGTGTGTGTGTGTGTGTGTGTGTGTGTGTGTGTGTGTGTGTGTGTGTGTGTGTGTGGTGTTATTAGAGACCTGAAGAGACTGAGTTTCACCCCAGAGCAAATGTTCATCCCTCCCCCACATCCACATTGCAAATCAAGTTGTCACTAGCTAAAAGTGTATCACTTGCCCACAATTTTTCACACATTTGCATTTGGCAGGGTGCAAAAGGCCACCATACGTGGAAACCGACAGAAAACGAAATTGCGATTTCCCTGTTTAGTTTCGGTTGACAGAACAACACATTGTATCACATTTAGCTCCAAGCAGCAGATTGTGATGACTAATGATAATAAGATGAAGAATCACTCACAGCCTTTTAAGTCCACTCACTGCAAGTCTGTGCAGATGAGGCCGAGGAGAGAGGCTGGCTGGGCGTGTCGCTCAATCATACGCAATGCATTCTTTTTAAATGTTGGATGGTGAGAAAGGGAGCAAAGTGCAGGCCCTCGTGTCGCTGCACGTCCTCGTTTTCAGAAACATGAGGTGGAGGTGAATGGGAAGTTTGATGTGTTTCGAGTCGCGGCGCCGGCTGCGTGTTGCTACAAGCTCTGGCTAAGATGCACACATAGCTCTACTGTTTGTCCACACCCTCGGGACTCTAAACAGTAGCTTTGCAAACAAGGGAGTGGGGGGGTGGGGGTTGTTTGAGGTTAAGGTTGAGCAGGTGTTAAAAGAGCAGAAATGCCTTGTTGTAATTGCAGTTACATTTGGTCCTCTACTTTAGTGACTACCCTGAGGGCAAGGATGGGCAACGTAAATCCTGGAGCGGAGACACAATTTTTTATTGGTGTTTCTGGGGATCCACATAAGACCACACACTTGCTACAGTAATCAGATGCATTCCAAAAATGCTATTTTAAATATGGACAAATACATGCATACATGTATAATATGTGCTCTTAATACAAAATATATTTAATATTTACAAATGCATTAACAATGCATTTATAAAAGATCCACTATTCCAACCAAACAAAAAAAAAGGGTTTGAGGCAAACAACAAAATGAACACATACCTTTTTTTTCCCAGTGCAGAAAGTTCTCTTGCATAAAAATTACCATTCAAGGATTTTTTTTTTTTTTTTTACAAAAATCAATTTAATCAAAATTGTAATATTTTTGAGGTACTATGTTTGTCTTGCATATACTGTACTTCCAAATATGCAAAAAATTATTAGGCCTACAGCCATCTCGTCACCTCTGCCTCCCGCGTCCTAGGAGGCCATTATGTCGTCCAGCTTCACGGTTCACGATGTTTTATTCACAGGACAGCGACAATATATTCAATTAATCAAGAGGTCACTCAGTATGGTCTGGCCACCAGTTCCCCATCCCTGCCCTTGGGCTACGTGAGAACATTGCAAGGGGTACATGAAGGCATGTAATAATTTATTTCCCAGATCAATAACCATCGGCACAATCAAGCCCAAATCACAACAGATGACCTCTGATGTCAAACATGTTTGAATTAATTGTACCGTTTTTGAATTAAAGTGTACCGTACACGTTTTCCTGCTTTTATCAAATGGCAACCTCTGTTGTCAAACACGTTGACATTATTTTACATACTTAAGACATAATATTATCATTAAAAATCTGAAACCTGTTGTAAAAAAAATACTTGAATGGCAAAGTTTTTTTTTAAAAAAAAGTATATAAAATGAACGAAAGTAAACGAGAGTATTTCAAAATAATGAATTATGTATTAAAGAATATATGTAAAGAAATGTGAACTTTGCATCCGGACGGCACTGATTAATTCCTGTTTACTTGCAGTTTTGCCACACTTATGGTAATGCGTGTTTATTATTTGAGAGAAAGTGCAAAGCTCTGTGTGAAGTCTCCAAATGGTGAAAACATGCCACAACAACACACTGTGATCAGTAGGATGATATCAAGCTTTTCATCTTACAATTTAATTTTTCTGTAGCAGACGTGACAGTCAGCGGTTGCTGAAAGAGCGTCAAGAAGTTAGCGGGAGAATGCCATGAAATTGATCTCTTTGAGCGACCGTTCACACCACACCGCCACATTTGCATACATTGGTTATGAATGGAGAAACTCTGCACGCTTGGTTCAAAATATTCCGCGTTTTCAAGACAGCACAGGTGACTGCAAATAGTCTGCACCATGAGATCTTCTTCTCCGTCACTGAGGCTGAATTTATCATTTTGTTTTGTTTTTCTTTGATTACAATAATGCAATAAAATGAAACAGATAAAATAAATAAAAATGTTGCCAACCAGACCGGCCATTCACTATACGCAAAATAAACTGCGACAATTATCACACATATTGTACTGTAATCTGTTACAATTCCCTCAACTGCATCATAAGATTCATCCTAGTTATGATGTGACGCAATAAATCGGGCGCATCATTCACTCTAATTCAACACAATTCACTCCTTTACAAGGTAATTCCGACATAATTCAATCCAACTACCAGATTCAGCCGCTTCGAAGTTGACTTGTTGAGTCCTGATGCTGAGTCGCCAAGTCAAGATGAGTTGCTTTCAAAAGAGTCTCAGACAAGTCAACATTTGAGTGACAGCCACGGTGTCGCAGAAGACAAAAATGTTCCCAGGCGGGCTTTGTGTGTCTTCACGGCGGGTTTACTGGCCCAGTGAAAGCTCCTAATGACTAAAACACTCTTCCTTAGCATACCCACCTGTTCTCATCATGACCTCCCGGGTGGGGGGGGTTAACATAAGGGCTTGTTTGCTCTGCTGTCAATGTGACCACCCCCACGACCCCAGCGGGGTCTCGACTCACGTAAAAAAAAAAAAAAAAAAAATCTCCAAAACCCCCTTCAAAGTGAAAGCTTCCAGATTGACTCTCAAGATGTTGACTGGTTGGATGTGCTGTACACAGACCAGGCACCAATGTTTATTCTGGATTTTTTGGGCCTTTTCAAAGCTTTGTACCTGAGCAAACTCCTACTCGGGGAAATGAGCAAATCACGGCTGCAAATCATATTTTGATTTCCCCAACTCAACTTGATCAATTAAGCCCTTTTAAAACAAGCGCAGCTGAAACAGTGCTATACATGAATACAAATCAAACAAAATCCAACTAACCATAACAATTTAAAAACATTAAAAGTGGGAAAAACTTATAATCAGTAAATTCAGGACACCAGAACGAGGACAGAGTGTCAAGCTGTTTTGAAAGCTAAATAAATTTGGATTCGAAGGTGGCTTTGAAAAATGGTCAAGGGGGCACCGAAAAGTCATTCCGTAGTTTGGACCAGCAGCAGAAAAGCCCAATCTCCTCTGCGCTTCCATTTGGTCCCCCAGTAGATGCTGATCAGCCGACCTAAGGCACTGAGCAGGAGTTTAGGGATGGAGCAGCTCATCGAGTTGCGGCTGGGAGAAACCATTTTGAAATTTGAAAACACACAGCCGAATTTTAAAATGGATTCTAAAGTTCACAAGCAACCTGTCGTGAGGGAGGCCAGTATATAGGACTTAACATGCTCCCTCTTACATGTTCCAGTTAAGAGGGAGGCAGCAACATTTTGACTCAAACAGAAACATGTGACGAAGGACTGGCAGACTCCAAATGCGCTACTGTAATCCTGGTGAAATAATGATGAAGGCTCTGATTACTCTTTCCAAGAGGACAAATACAAATATGAGGAAAGTGAGTTACGAGTTTGTTCACGGAATAAACTCAGCAGTCAAAGTACCGCTGTGTACGAGATGATCGCTGCTCATTTGCCAAAGTTGTGAGTTTTCATGGTACAGGAACAGGAAGTTTGAAGTGAAGCTTTCGGGCAAATTCCAGGGCTCGTACTTTGATGAAGAAATTCACCCAAATGAGCCCTAATCGGAAGCACGTTTACTAGCCATCAATATTTGATGATCATCATCGTCTGTCACTGCTTGCAACTTCAGTCGTGCTTGTTGTTTACGGAAAAGTAAAAATTGTCTCCATGACGAATTCAGGACTTGAGGCGAAAGTTTTTTTTTTTTTTTTAAGAGTAAAATGACAAGCTGGCATTCAAGTCATAAACATTCAGTGGGATTTAAAGAGCCTGAGGCTGAAAGTCAGCTTTTGCAATGGAGCGCCTCACATGAGATGTCAAATAAAGGAAATTTCAGTGTAAAATATGTCTTTTCACTCTGCAGGCATAATAAAGCATTTGACACCACATGAACACACCTTTTGTTTGAACTTGTTAATTAAAGAAATGCGCCAGCGTTTCAGCAGGGACGGATGGATCGTAATTCAGATGGGCGGATGTTTGACATTAATGGTTGACGTGATTGTAGTCCTTAAAAGTCAGTCATTATGCTTTGTTCCTGTTCGACTTTCTGTGGGATGTCCTCAGCATTATCTTGAGCAGCGTAAGGGCAAGATGAACAAGCTTCTGTTGCTTTGAAATTTCTCATCGGGATACAATTCTTAGTGGGCACATGATGTCGGTTTGATGTTGAAGATTGGACTTTGATGTCATATTGAATGGACATCAGATGTCCGCTAGCTTTTAAAGTTAGCGATGTTACAATACGCTCTGTAACAGATTGCACTGGTGTCGGTGCCTTGTTAAGCCCAAGTTCGGCTTCAGTATCTGAGACAAAGCATATGCAGCAGACGTGGTTGTTGCCATCTTATCTATCCACTCCCGCTGACTGTCGATCACAAATCGAACACCCCTGTCCATTTGTAATTGGATAAGCAAGTCAGGGGCCAGAAGCAGAGCAACCCCCTGCCTTCTGCCGAGGAAGTTTGGTCGAGTGGACAATTATTTTTTTTTGTGTGTTTGTGTTGCGACCGAAAGTGATGATTTGTTGTCTCAACTAAAGACATGATACGATCCAATAAATTTGTATTTTGCCGGTGATCAATTCAGGGCATACCTACAGTATCACCTGTCTTGCCCAAGGTCAGCCGTGAAAAGTTCCAACACACCCGCAACCTTAATGAGGCCAAACTGGAATTGAACCTCTGCACTATGAGGTTGACGCGCTAACCACTGGGCCACCGGGCCGCCCAAAAAACATGAAATGATTCAAAACTGAGTTCCATGAATATAAATGCCATTAATTAAAAGAAGAATATCATAACAAGTAAAAAAATGCAATAAACATTTTTAAACTGCATTGAAAATGTCATGAAATAAGGCCGCTGGTCATTACAGAAATATTATGGTTCACAATGTCATTCATTATTTCACATTTTAGATCATTTACTTGTATTTTAATGATCTTGATTGATACTTTAATTAGCCTGACATTTATTTCATTTTATCACACACACAAAACAATCTTCAGAGATACCTTTACTGCTTTATTTGGAATTATTCCATTGAAGTTTTCTCATAGTGTTTTTTTTTCCTCCTTTTTTTTAATGCAAAATGCATTGAAAGAAATGTGAGAAACAAAAGAAAAATACAAGCCCTTGCTTTCATTAGCCTTCCATCACACATGCAAGAAAAGTGGCAGTAAAACACACACACACACACACACACACACACACACACACACACACACGCACACACACACACACACACACACACACACAAAATTGCACATTTTTTACACTTTCAAAACACTTGTCATTGCAGTTGTGCTTTTGTTGAGGAGTAATTGGCACACTCATTTCCCAGGACTTGCATACATTAGCATTAATTCCATGTGTGTGCGTGTGTGTGCACAGGTGTCATCAGTACGGTGGCAGCGTTGGATCGTGAGGATAAAGCAGAGCACAGTATTGAGGTGAGACCTGAACACCTTCTTTCTTTCTTTCCATTTTCAAGTATGGGAAGCTTGCCTCTCATTACAATACTACATAATAAGTCACTCAAGTACGATGTTATACAATTCCTTGCAAATCCATCCGATGCATTGAACTTCGTTCCAGTTAGATTACGATTCACTCAAATTACAATACGATACAATTCACGCTAATTATGATACAATTCACTCCAATTATGACACGTCATGGTTGACTCCAATCATTGTATGGTCAGGTCATCGTGTCCGACAACGGCTCTCCGTCACTTCACTCCACCGCAACCGTGGTGGTCCGCGTGCTGGATGACAACGACAATTGGCCCAAGTTCACAGACAAACTTTTCCACGTCAAGCTACTGGCCCAGCGCCAGCAGGACGGCCGTCTGGAAGTCTGCCGAATGATGGCCAGTGACGACGATGAGGGTTCCAACGCCGATGTGATGTACACGCTACAAGACGACCACGATGGCAGTTTCCACATTGATTCGCTGACCGGTGTGGTGACGTCGCTTGGAGACTTTTGGCCTGGGAATTACACCATTCTCACGGTAGTTTACACTTGAAATTCTTCATTCGCTAGCGTGATGATGTGAACACCCACTCCGGGTTAGGGACCACGGGGTCATGGTCGTGACACAAAGAAGAATTGACACCTCCCAATATTTTTTTTTCCACAATTACCTATTTTAATAGATAAAACAAAAATAAACTTTGATCCCAAAACATTTATAATTTCAAAACATCGTCCAAAGTGACCCCAACACATTGTGTTAACTGAAAGTGTGAGGACACAAAATCAGTATTGAGCCACTTTGCAACCTGTACAAATTTTATTACTCATTTCCTATTCACCATTTTGTTGCACTTTTGCATTGTGTGTGAGGAATAAAATTATGATATGTGTAAAAAAATAAATAAATAAAATAATACAAATAATACAAAGTCCGAGAAAGTACAAAAAAACCCCAACAAAAAAATCCAACAAAGTGCAGTAGAAACAAAGAAAGTCCAACAAAATGTGTGGAAAAAGAAACAAAGAACTAAACAAAGTGCATAAGAAGTCAGGAAAGTATGGAACAACAACATGTGTGAGGAAACAAAAGTCCATTAAAGTTTGTAATGGACAAAGTACAAAAACAAAACGATATTACTCTGTGTATATGCTAATTGAATTAGCATCCATGAGTCAGCACTTATTAATCTTCGAATGTGATTGCATGACTAATTTTACCGGTTTTCTTGCGACATTTTGTAGATTAAAGCGACGGATGCTGGCAACCCGCCGCTGTCGTCGGCAGCGAGGCTGGACATAGAGTGGACTTCACCCGAGCCGCCTTCCGCCGAGCCCATCGCCTTTGACGAGCCTCACTTCACCTTCGCCGTCATGGAAACGGAACCCGTCACTCACATGGTGGGCATCATCATGACCGAGACATACCGACTGCGCTGGTTTCACATCGTAGGTAAGATAATTGTGCTGGTTTGGACGTTTTCTTGGAGAGCCGACTTATTGGAGGTTCTCGTTTTATGGCAACGAATCAAATTTTGCTGTCAAACTGAAAGCCATCTGCCAAGTATTTGTATACAAAGGTCAAATCGAGTAATAATCAAAAAAAAAAATTGTGGAGGACTTTGTTGGGGAAGGACACCTGGAAATGACCACAATAACTCTAAAACCCACGACCTCTGCACTGTGAGGTTGACGCGCTAACCACGAGACCACGGGGCCGCTCGCGCCCGAATTAGTTGCACCAAAATTTTTTATCGCATCACATTCACAGAGCTGTCATTTCCCTAATTGTAAGTACACAGTTGTATCACATCGGTGAAATTAGTGACATATGATGAATGTATTTTTATTTTGTATAAACACAATCACTATTGTGTTTTCTCTTTTTTATAACCTACTCTTGCATCCCCCTGAATACCTATCTGCAATGCAGTTTATTTGCATCAATTTTAATGTCTATACACCACTACTTTTCCATATTAATGGTACATATGACAGATTCACAAAGTTTTAGTCAATAATATATGAGATTTATGAATGGTAGGGTGAGGGTGGTCATCTTCCTCCGGAGCTGTGTAGCTCATCTCCACTTTGTGACGCTGACCCAGAAAAACATGAAGAACAATTGTGGAATGAAAAAAGGAGTGAAAAATTGAATTCCAGCACAAAGGCTCCTTTTGTTGCAGCATCACTCACAGAAAGCACTCAAGTATTAGCATTTAGCATTAGCATGGCTTTTCGAGGGTAAAAGGCTTCCTGATGCACCGCAAACAGGAAGTGGATCCCGCCAATTAATTTAAATTAATTAAAGGGAATGTTATTTACTTCATATGAAACTGACTGAAACAAATGGAATCCTGTGTGTGTGTGTGTGTGTGTGTGTGTGTGTGTGTGTGTGTGTGTGTGTGTGTGTGTGTGTGTGTAGCAGGAGTGGAGAAAAGGTCATTCAAGAAAATTTTATTAGAGTGTTGACAACATAAATACATATCCAAATATTCATCTTTAAATAATCCACAAATTGTAAAACAAAAAAAAAAGTCAGTCACACACGAACACATGTACACCAAATAATATGATTTACGTCAGTGCTTGAAGTGGAAAAAAAATAAGTGCTGGTACTCCTCTTATTCAACTGTTGTCAGGTAAATTAGGCAGTGGTTAACTGCCAACTATTAAGTTCATGAATTGATGAATAAATATATGACAAACTCGAAATAATCCACAGTGTCCAAAAAGTCCATGGCACTCTAGTCACAAAACGTTATGCTGTATACTGCCACGTTCACATTTGGGATGGCTTCTTTCTTCTCTCACCAGTTACTTGTGATCCCACCAACTTGTACAATCGAAATAAACAAGATAGAATTAATCCACACAGTGAAAAAAAAAGATCATCGTATAACATACATATGCCATCGCTGAGGTTTGTTATCTTTCTGTCTGTCAGGTGGAGATGAGGAAAAGGACTTTGACATCCAGAGGAACTCAGGCACAATTTCCATCGCCCGCCGACTAGACGCCGCCCGCCGCTCCAACTACAACCTGACGGTGCAAGTCACCGACAGCCACCACAGCTCCACCGTGCAGGTTGGAATTTGTAAAAACACGTTCTGTGCCTTTTTTATGATTTCCGTGAAGCGTCCCACTTTGGGCGGAAAGCGTTCCAGTCAGATGTACACAAAGAAACAGAGCCCCCGAGCTGCATCCGGCCCTTAATTACGACTGCCTCCCCGTTGCCCACAAACTCTTTTAAGATCACAAGAGATCAGGCATTCTCAGAGTAAATTGGTGCCTTGGGATAGGTTAGGTTAAATCATTCCGTTATCATGCTCATAACAGAAATCATCTTTCCCCATTGACATGAACAAAATAAATCCCATTAATCCGACTCACCCCCCATTCCGCCCCCCCCCTGCTCACTCGGATCTCAAGGCACCACTGTGGCAGTTTCACCTTACGACACACTGCTCTTTACGCCGTCGACCAACACATTCATGTACGCGAGGCTGTTGGCGCACCAGCTGGGCATCGACCGTTTGGCTGGCGCGGCTGAATTGAAAAGAGTTTTCTTTCATGATTTATTTTGGTTGGGTCAGCACGTGTATGCCAGAGCTGCATGCCAACAATGTACAGACTGTTAGTGGGTCCCTGAGTTCACTGCTGCGAGTGCAATTTTCAACTTTCATGGACACTTTGCCAGCTGTGAGAGCAGAGCCGATATTATACGAAAATGTTCCATGTGTGCTGCTCAAGGAAAACTGGATGGTGATAATCTGCAATTGGCGGTAAAATGGACTTTAAAAATGTGCATTCATTCTCCCTCAAACCAGCACAAGACCCATGTGCTCAATACACATGTAGAGAATAGCTGTGATAAAGATTTCCAGTCTGAAATATTTTTAGACAAAGCATTGTAACTGTGCAGAGGTGGGCATTAAGTCACTGATTCCTTCAGAATTTCAGGCTGACACACATGGGCCCAGTCTGTCACTTGTTAGCGAAAGCCAAACGGTGTCGGGAGCATAATTTCAACGTTACACAAGTCGACAGGCAGCCAAATAAAGATAAAAAAACTGCGAGACACACACACACACACACACACACACACACACACACACACACACACACACACACACACACACACACGCAGGTACGCACGCGCGCACGTACACACACAGGGCAAGGTGATTAGTGAAATAAAAACAATATGATTGCATGTGTGTGTGTGTGTGTGTGTGTGTGTGTGTGTGTGTGTGTGTGTGTGTGTGAGATTTCCACCGCTGAGTCACTGCGATAGCAAACAGCAACCTCTGTGATTTGTTTTCATCTCTTGCATATTGGATGTTATTTCTATAACGTGGCCGCTTTTTTTTTGTGGGTTTTTTTTGGACCATAGGCCTACATCCGCGTTCTGGACATGAATGAACATCGGCCTATCTTCCTCAAGACGCTCTATGAGGTGTGTGCGTGTGTGACTTTATGTGTAGATTTGTGTGTCAATACAGTGTAAGATTCAAATCTTCGTGTACATGAAGAGTAAAAGAAGCTTTCAGTGACTTTGAGTCAACGTGTTGTAGCACGCCAGCAACCTGGATTGAGAAACGGGTAGGTTTGGGGTTTTGAATATAGGATTAGGGTTTATGGATTATAATTAGCAGGTTAGTGTTTTGGGATAATTCGGGTAATTGTTTGCAAAAAGTGGTTCATTCAAGTATGTTATAAGTAAATATTTATATACTAATTTGGAGGCAGTATACTTTAAGTGTACTTTTATAAACTTCACAGAAGTATGCTTAAGTATACTTGTCTTGTATTTAAAAGTATGCACAAGTACTTATAATTTCATTTGAAATTGGATTTGTTCCACTTTAGTATGAAAAAGTTGAAAGACTTTATGTACTTATATTCAAGTATGCTTTTTCCAAATTTCATATATACTACTTTTTCGTAAGGAGAGGGATTAGGGTTAGGATCAGGAGGAATTGGTTTCAGGTTGGAATAAAGGTTTAGATAGTCGGGAGTTTGAGTTTTTGGGTTGGGGTTCATTTTTAATGTTAGGTTTTGAGGTAAAGGTTGAGATAAATTGGTAAGGGTTAATTCAATTCAATTTGATATGTTTTTTTTTGGAGCAATAGGGATTTTGTTTTGAGGGTAAGAAAAGCTGAAAAAAATAAAACACAAAGAAAGGCACAGAAGTGAGACTTTTTTGCTGGCTAAATTGAGGTCTAGTGAGGACAGCATATAACATGAAAGTTCCAACCGAAAATGTTCGAAATTCAAAATGTCACAATGTAAATTTTCTCACTTTCTGGTCACTGTGTCTGTCAGGTGCAAGCTTATTTTACTAAACCTAAACCTAACGAAATGACTAAAACTAAAATTGGCAAAACATTTTCATCAACGAAATAAAAGAAAACCAAACATTTTTTTGAAAAAACAAAAACTAACTGAAACTGCTCAGGTGAGGGTCCCTGAGGACACGCCGGCATGGAAGGACATCCTGCACGTAGCGGCACGTGACGCTGATGCAAACAGCAAGCTGGTCTTCTCCATTCAGAGCAGCTCAAACCCCATCAGCTTCAAACTCTTCCACCTGGACCCCAAGAGCGGCGTCCTGGCCACCACCGACAAACTGGACTATGAGACCATCCCACTGCACACACTTGTTGTCATGGTAACTTCCACACTGCACTGTAAATTAGGTATACGGTAGCCCACTGTAATAGATCTTCCACTTAATCATGTGCTGAATAGGGTTGAGGTTTTGAGTCCCTCGATCACCAAAGAGTCTGAGAGGGCTTCATAGGCCCACATCACACACAAATTAATGACATCCCTTGGTTGGAGAATCATGAGAAATCCCCTTTGAGTACATAAACAAGAAGAATCCTTGAGAATGGTTCTTAGATGGAGAGATCCCCTTCCAGAATGATCAGGATGCAGCAGATGTTGAATAGGAAACATCTGTCACGATGATGCTGTGCAGTGTTAGTTAAAACAGCATGAGGGTCCATTTGATAAAATAAAGACCCGCGTCCTCGTCAGATCTTTTCCCGGTCAGTTGATGCAAGATTGTAACCGCCAAGACCTCACTTTGATCATCACCACTTTGCCCCCTTCTCTGAATAGGAGAGTAGGGGAGAGGCGGAGGGATGAGAAGCAGCAGTAAAATAGGCCAAAATCTGAATGTCTGGGATAAGGCAGGGCAAGAGACTAATTTCATACCATTTGCCGTTTAACCAACCGTGAGAGTTTAGAAATAAGTCTCGGGTTAGGGTTTAAACATTTCTACTGAGGAAGCCATGCTCATGGCCACACCATGGTTTTTCTCAAATCAGTTTCTGTTTGGAGGAGGCAACACTGAGTCAGGAGCCCCCTTTGGCCTCCCCTCCAAACCAAGATTACACAGTTCTGTAGTTATCAAAATTGTGATATAGGGCAAACGCAAAAGGCGGAACTAATTCTAGCCGGCTCTGCCTTATGTGGTATAAAGGGTTCAACAAACTGCAAAGTGTATTTCACAATGCAAGTTTATATGAATGACTCAACATAACCACCCTTCTTGTCAACTTGGCAACATTCGTGCCATATGGGCTTAACACACTCTGTAAGACAGTAAAGTCCAGCCTTAAAAATAAAATCACACCGGCCAATAAATAATACGGTCACCCCACTCTCTTGCCTCGAAACTGCACGCTTATGCAATTGCGCATTGCTCGCATCCTCTCCACTCACAGTAAATCTAAGCTGCGCATCCATAAAATTCTACCTGAACTTTAAGTAAAATGAGCACAATAAACAGACACCATTTACTAACCACCAGTTAGCCCAAATACCTGCATGCTGCTCATCAGCATTTTTTTTGAACAGCTGATGTCTTAATACCATGCATTTAACTGACAGAAAAAATATCCTTTATTCGTCATCATTGCTCTCTAAATTACACGCAAATTATTCTCAGTAAGATGAAATGGAATGTAACCTTTTAGGTGCGCGACCAGGAGATCCCAGTCAAGAGGAATTTTGCCAAGGTAATGGTGCACGTGGAGGACTGCAATGACCACGCGCCCGCCTTCCTCAGCACGCGCTACGAGGCTGCCGTGTCCAATGTGCCTCCCGGCGGCACCGAGGTGGTGCGCGTCAAGGCCCTAGACGGTGACGCGGGCAGCAACGCCGACATTGCCTACTCCCTGCATTCTGGTGAGCATCAAAGTTTTTTTAATTTTTAATTCTTCACATTTCTTCTCTTACACTTTTTTTAACAATACAAGGCGATATTTCTTAGTTGAAAATCAAGTGACAAAAAACTTTTTTTTTCGAGTGGGGGGAAGCTGGAACCGATTGTTGGCATTTCAATTCAATTAATCGGGGAAACATAATTTGACAAAAAACTAAATTGAGTTAAGAGCTTGGTCACGGAAGAAATTAAACTCATAAGTCAAAGCATCACTGTATATGTTTTCACATCTGAGACACGCCAATATTTTGTCATCTTTTCTTCACCCCGCCATCGAACATCAGCCAGTTGAGAGCTCCACTGAAACAGAGTGCTCCAGGATGCCATTATGACGCCCTGGAGAGTCGCCAGAGTGCTTTGCAATTTCCTCCCCCGGCAATCATTTTATGTTTGGGATTTCCTGGGCTCAGGCCAGCTCTCCGTGGCTGTTTTATTGTTTGCTGTGCACAGAATGTCAGAGAACAACTACCTCCCAGCTTTGGCCCTGGATTTGTCTCTTATCCTGTAGTACAATGAAAAAAAAAGGGCCTACCTGGATTTGATTTATGTGTTAGTTCCTGAACAAAGAATTCTTCTCCTACTGAGGTTTTTGTTCACATTGCATTTTTTGCTAAATAAATGAAAAAAAAAGGGGAAAAATTCATGGGAAGCAAGGAATATAAAGGCAGCCAATTTTACGATCAAATGATTAATGATTGCGCATCAATACGAATTGTAAAGCGATTTGATTGTACTGTTACAATGCAACATTACTCTCCCTTTCTTGCTCAAAACCTTCCAAATTTACCCCAACAAGGTAGCAATTCAAAAGAAGCAAACAATGTTTCTCGACATGAAAATGATAATGCAGGAAAAACAAAGAGTGAATGCTCACTCTTTGGAAGTTTGATATTTACAAATTCACCTATCGGTGGGTTTTTTTCTTTGGAATCTATTTTCTGCTATTTCCTGAAAAACACAGTTTTTCAGTATTGGTTATATTTTTCTGCTCTTACAGTAGCGCTGTAAGATGCCATAAGATAGTGCCATAGCCCTGACTAATAGGAAATTAATAACTGGTGTCAAAATATTGTTGGAGTGATACACCTTACTGAGACTGAGCTCTTTGGATGGAGGGGAAGAGGTTAATTCAGCCTGGGTTGTTAGTGGAAGTTACACAGCATCTTCCCTGCATGTAGAAGCACATTTCCGCTGCGTTTTTTAGAAATCAAAACATTTGTAAAAAGCAACATGATAAGGGGCCGCCATCTCAGTGGAGTTTTTTAAACAACATGGAATGAGGACATCAAACGCCAAATCTGCCATTACAGAAAAAGTCATGAGAAAATAATTGATTGATTGATTGATTCATGGCCAGTTCTGCTGCCTACACTGCTCTTTTCATGAATACTTTTGAATTTGCACTTTTTAAGGTTAGTTTTGCAGGGCAAGTGATGCATTTTGAAACATCACTCTAATTATAGGGAGCCCACTTCAAGAACACATTGGAATTTTGAGCTGAATTTTGAGCTAATTTGTAGATTTTATTTAACTAGTCGAACAATCAAAGAAGGGGTTCGCCTTGTTGACGACAAATTTGAAGGATTTGTACAATGGCATCAACGTTAATGGAAAATTTTGTCTTGATGAGTACTGACATTGTGTTCAGGTTTCAGTCTATCCCTTGAAACCAATAGAAAGTGGTAATTTCTAAAATGTCATGTATCCTTGAGTTTTCAGATGGTAGGAGAATGAAAAATTGAAAGATTTCCCAAGCAGATGCGACTCGCTGCACTTCCCCATATACCTGCACATTTAATTGCTATGTTCTCGCAGGGAGTTTAAAAACAAATCATGCCAGTTCCCTTCATTTATCAGAGTGATCGATTTAGTTGCTGTACCTCAGTAATGTTTTTTGCGTCTTCCACTAGCAAAGCATGAAACACATGCGGTCACTTCGACCACACCACAGTTTGAGAATCTGTGTGCTAGTGATTAGGCCTTGCAGGACAGGAAAAAGACAGTTTACAAAATAAAGCATCAGAGGCAAAAACGGTAGTCACCCTAGTCCCAGCTTTCTCCATTATTATCTCCATTCTAATAGCCACCATCCCACCTCTGATTTGCCTTTCAAACTACTTTGGAAACAGGGGAAATTTGTGGAGCGACCGTCCATCTTTTCACACAGAACAACGACACATTTCAAATCCAATTTTGAGACATTTTTTTTCCATTCTGTTGACAGGAAACATCAACAACATATTTTCCATCGATCAAGTCTCAGGCTCCATCAGCATGTCCAAACCCTTGGACATTCTGCACCAGGACCCTTTCCACCTCACGGTGAAAGCCACGGATCAGGGCTTCCCTCAGCGCAGCGACATCTGCTCCGTCCACATCCATATCCGCATCTCTGACCACAGCCTACCCGTCTTCCATGATGATGAATATCTTGCAGAAATCAGCGAACGGAGTGGCTTAGGGACACCGGTGGTCGCCATCTCTGCCTCCAGCCCGGCTGCGGTAAATTACGACATTGAAAGCGGCAACCCCAACGGAACATTTCACATTGACCGATACACTGGAATGATCACAGTCCGAAAGCTTCTGGATTTTGAGATGTGCTCCTCCTACACACTTAACGTTTCGGCATCTACTAGTTCCGGAGCTATGTCCAGGACAGCAGTTTATATCTATGTCATGGATGAGAACGATAACACTCCTATTTTTGCCAAGCGCGAGTACATTGGACAAATAGGTGAGGCGGCACACACCAATAGTCTGGTGATGTCGGAAGATAACATGCCGTTGGTTGTCCAGGCTTCAGATGTGGACCGAGATGCAAATGCGCTGCTCGTCTATGAGATCCTGGAGGAGGAGGCTGCAAAAGTGTTTAGAATTGACACTAGCACAGGTGCAATTTCACTTGCGGCGCCGTTAGACTTTGAAATCAAGGCTGAGTACCACTTCAACGTGCAGGCGAGGGATTCAGGGAAACCATCGCTGTACGCAACCCAGCCTGCCAAGGTCGCTGTGCACGTCCTGGATGTGAACGACTACCCGCCGCAGTTCACTACCGCCACCTATGAGTCGTCCGTCATCTTCCCGCCGGTCCTAGGCGCAGAGGTGACAAGAGTGGTGGCTCATGACGCAGATTCGGCAATCTCATACAGCATTGCCGAAGGAAATCTCGATGGTGCCTTTTCCATTCATCCCGCAACTGGAGTCATCATTGTGAGCAACGTGTTGAGGTTCAAGCCATTTTACCAGCTGGTAGTCAGCGCCTCAGATGGCCTACACGAGGATTCAGCCATTGTGAGGGTGAATATCACCAACGTCACAGAGAGCGGTCTCAGCTTTGAGCAAAAAACATATTCAGTGAGCGTTTCAGAGAACCTGAGCAGCGTGAAAACATTAGCTGTGCTCAAACCAAGAGGGTGTTATCTAAACGAGCCTTTGTCTTATTCACTCTTGAACCCCATGGGAAGATTTTCAATCTCCCGGACTTCTGGTGTCATGGAGACCACAGGCGTGCCATTTGACCGCGAGGACACAGATGCCTACGATGTAGTGGTGATACTACAAGACACAAGGATGCCACGAAGGACGGCCACCGCTCTGGTCAAAGTCTTTATAGATGATGTCAATGACAACCCACCTCAGTTCCTCAACCTGCCTTTCTCGATGACGATGTCTGAAGACACAGAACCGGGAGATGTTCTGTACCAGGTCACCGCCAGGGACATAGATCTGGGTGAGAACGGATCGATTGTGTACTCTATGGAGGAGGATTATGACCTCTTCAGAATCGATCCAACCATAGGTGATGTTTCGATCCAGAGGCCTCTTGATTTTGACACCCTCAGCAAATATGTCTTGACGATCCTGGCGATGGATGAAGGCGTTCCTAGTCACATGACCGAGGCACAGCTCAGTATTCAAGTCAGGAACCGGACTAACCCAGTTTTTCAGACACTATTATACCCTTTAAAAGTCCCCGAATCTGTTCCCCCTTTCACTACCATCCTGCATGTGCAGGCCAGGAATCCCGAAGGTTATCGCCTAATTTACAACCTAGTGGAGGAAAACGCCTCCAAGCACTTTCACATCGACTTCAAGACGGGTGCGTTGACAGTCACCAACTCGCTGGACTACGAGAGCCAGAACTTGCATGTGCTGACTGTGCGAGCCACAGATTCTGTGAGCGGAGCCTTTTCAGAGGCATCTATTGAAGTGGAGGTTGAAGACGTGAATGATAATGCCCCCTTTTTCTACCAGCAAAAATACACCACCAGCATCGCGGAGGGGCTTCCCATTGGCTCCTCAGTTCTGCAGCTGTCTGCCTCCGACTTGGATTCTGGCAGGAATAAAGATCTGACATTTCACATGGTGAGAACAGAAGGCAACGAAACCGATTTCTTTGACATAGACCACCAGAGTGGATTGATTTTCTTAAAGCAAGTGCTGGACCATGAAAGTGTGAATCGCTTCCGGTTGAAAATTCAAGTGGTTGAACGCCTCCAAGCACTTTCACATCGACTTCAAGACGGGTGCGTTGACAGTCACCAACTCGCTGGACTACGAGAGCCAGAACTTGCATGTGCTGACTGTGCGAGCCACAGATTCTGTGAGCGGAGCCTTTTCAGAGGCATCTATTGAAGTGGAGGTTGAAGACGTGAATGATAATGCCCCCTTTTTCTACCAGCAAAAATACACCACCAGCATCGCGGAGGGGCTTCCCATTGGCTCCTCAGTTCTGCAGCTGTCTGCCTCCGACTTGGATTCTGGCAGGAATAAAGATCTGACATTTCACATGGTGAGAACAGAAGGCAACGAAACCGATTTCTTTGACATAGACCACCAGAGTGGATTGATTTTCTTAAAGCAAGTGCTGGACCATGAAAGTGTGAATCGCTTCCGGTTGAAAATTCAAGTGGTTGACAATGGAAGCATCGCCCTCAGTGGTGAGACTGTTGTCTTGGTAAATGTCACTGATGTCAACGACAATCCCCCGGACTTTGTAAGCTCTCATTTTCAAGCCTCACTGGATGAGTCTGCAAAATGTGGCCACATTGTCATCAAGATTCAGGCGTCCGATCCAGACATCGCAGACGCTAACCACCTCAAGTACAAAATCCTCTCAGGCAATGAAGACCGCTACTTTAACATCAATGAGACTTCTGGGATCATCTCCTTCTCCAACATTTGCAAAAGGAACCTGGATCCGTATTACAACCTGACGGTGGCGGTTTCAGATGGCGTATTCCAGAAAAGTGCGCCGGTCAACATCGACATGATCAACAGCAACAGACACCGCCCGTACTTCCGACAGAGCACCTATGAGGCAGAAGTTACGGAAAATGCAGAGGCAGGAACCCGCGTGATCCAGCTGGCTGCAATTGACCCTGATGATGGACCCTACGGCAGCGTGGACTACACCATCATAAACAAGTTGGCAGACGAGAAGTTTGCCATCAATGCTAACGGGCAAATTGTCACCACGCAACCGCTAGATAGAGAAAACCCTGACCAGAGGGTAATCGCCATCAAAGTGATGGCAAAAGACGGTGGCGGCAAAGTGGCCTTTTGCACAGTCAAGATCATCCTAGCGGATGACAACGACAATGTTCCACAGTTCAAAGCATCTGAATACCATGTCGCCATTAAGTCGACCGTTAACAAAGGCTCCCCTGTCATTCAAATTATGGCGTATGACGCAGATGATGGCAAAAATGCTGATATCACCTACACCGTAGATGAAGCTGAAGGGGCCACAGAGGACATAATCGAGATCAACCCATTCACTGGTGTGGTGAGTGTCAAGGAGAGCCTGCTCGACATGGAGAATAGGATCTTCACCTTCAAAGTGAAGGCTCGCGACGGCAACTTCCCATTCTACAACTCCACCGTCCCTGTGAGGGTCAAAGTGCTCCCTCCGGAAATTCCTCTGCCAAAATTTGTCGAGCCTCTATACACCTTCTCAACTGCCGAGGACACACCCGTCGGTACGGAGATTGGCTCGGTGAGAGCTGACTCTAACATGCCGCTCATTTACAGCCTGGTTGATGGCAACACGGTGGAAAGCAACAGAGACAAAGTGTTCAGTTTGGACAAAGAAAGTGGGACGTTGCTACTGGAGAAGACCATGGACCATGAGAGGACCAAGTGGTACCACATTGACGTGCTGGCTCAGGGCAACCACAACGGCACCGACGTGGCCTCGATGGTGTCGGTCAGTATCCAAGTACGAGACGTCAACGACAACCAACCGGTGTTTGATGCCAACCCATACAGGGCCTACTTGGCAGAGAATATGCCCGCCGGAACCACCGTCATTCAGGTGACTGCCAATGACCCTGACACAGATAGCAATGGTCTGGTCACCTACAGCCTGGAGTCGCTATCAGACGACGACGTCAACATCACTGACTTATTCTCCATTGACGGTGATACCGGCTGGATTGTGACTGTTCGCGAGGCTGACTGCGAGGCGTCCAGGCTGCACCGCTTCCACGTACTGGCCACCGACCACGGCGGCGACGCTAAGCTGTCATCCAGCGTTCTGGTGGAGGTGACGGTGACCGATGAAAATGACAGCCCTCCGGCATTCTCTGTGGACGCCTACCGCGGCTCGGTGGCAGAGAATAGCCACCCTGGCAGAGTCATTGTTTCTATGACGACCACCGATGCAGACGTGTCGCTGGAGAACCGTCTAGTGACGTGCTATATCACAGGTGCATATTCATTTTTTAATTTTCAAAACTACCAGGGTTATAATGGTTTTGGATCATGGTTAATTTTTATTTCGTTTTGACTTTAGCTTTTTAAACTCAGCAAGTTTGAATTCCTTTTTAGAGTGGATATTTTTTTTTTGTTTTGTTTTGTTTTTTTAAAACACTATTTTCATCCATCCATCCATTTTTTAATTAGATTTAGTTTTATACACAGACACACACACACACACACACACACACACACACACTGACACACACACACACACACACACATATATATATATATATATATGGGCACGTCCTGATACTAATGTGTATATATACACAGAGAGAGACACTTTACCTATGATATGATTTAAAATAAACTCCAAATAGTCATGTCTGAAATGAATTGACAAAGATGAAAACGAAGGATATTTTCGCGATGATAATAGTTAGTTTTTGTTATTTTCGTAACTGTAAAATGTATTGTTTGTGAAATTGTACTAAAGATGTAAAAACGATTTATGTTATGCAACCACAACGGTAATATAAATAATGCTATGGCTTCTCTTAGCAATTATTAATGATGAACAATCCATCCATTCATGGGCTAATACGCTTATGCTCACCAACGTCGTGGGCGTGTTGGAGCCTACCCCAGCTGTCTTTGGGCAGTAGGCGGGGCACGTCCTGAAGTGGTTGCCGCACAATCACATGGCCCACATAGAAAAACAAACATTCAAACTCACAATCATAACTACGGACAACTTGGAGTGATCAATTAGCCTACCATCCATGTTTATGGAATGTGGGAGGAAACCTTAGTACCCAGAGAAAATCCACACAGGCACGGATAGAACATCCCGACTCCACACAGGAAGGCCGGAGCCTGGACCTTTGTACTGTGAGGCGGATCTGTGAACCAGTTGGTCACTGTGCTGCTCCATGATTAACAATTGTACAATTGAAATAAAGAACATCATGAGAACATTCTTGCATTTTTCATGGTCTAACAGGTTTCTGTATTGTTGGCCACAGATGGGGACCCCCTGGGCCAGTTTGCCGTGATCCATCGTGACGAGGGTGAGTGGGGCTTGATAACCAAAGAGCCGCTGGACCGTGAGGCCAACGCCGCCTATGCGCTCACAATCACGGCCACGGATGGAAAATTCCAGTCCCCCATTAACGTGCACGTGGATGTACTGGACGAAAATGATAACACGCCGCAATGCCAACAGGTCACAGTATCGCCTTATACTGTATATGTTTTGCGTTCCTCACTATCAAGGTTATAATAATATGGGAATTTTCCTTGTAGTTTTTATTTTGTTTTGAGGGGTTTTTTTTTTAATGTTTTCCTCAGTTTACAAGGAGAGTTTGTTAGTGTGTATTAGTTTTCGATTTTCAAAAATGCCTTGCTATAGTTTCGGTTTTATTAGTTTAGTTTTTTTATTGTCTGTATTTCTTTTGTACAAGATTTTAAAAAATGGTAAAGTATTGTGCAGTAAAAACCTATTTTTTATTGATTTTTAAACAACCGTCCCCAAATCAAATACAGGTACTGTATAAAAGTCCACAGACTTTAAAATAATGAAGCAATAAGTTTAAGAAGGTAAATGCATCACAACCCAAACATCTTAAATAAAGCTAAGATTGTCTGGCTTTTCTTATCTTGTTTGCCAAGTTGCCAACTTCTAAAGGAGATTTGTGGCTAAAATTCCTGTTGCGAAGTTTTTTTTCATTTAAGAAGCAAAAAAAAAAAAACTGCATTGTTACATTATAGGGTACTGCATTGCATGTAGTAACTGTTAGCATGGTGTGTGTTTTTAGCTGGTGTATTCAGAAGCTCTGATGGAGAATTCTCCAACCAGCACATTTGTGTTGAAGGTGTCAGCATTGGATGCCGATGACGGCCCGAATGCTCTCATCTTCTTTACCCTGCATGGTCCCGATGCAGACCAGTTTCATCTGGACCATGTCACTGGTATGTACTTTCACACAGACCAGACAAAGTTATTTAGTAAATATAAAAGCCCAAGTTGAACAGTTAGTGACCATACACTGACGAAGCCATTTGCTTTAACCTGCTTACCATGCGTGCTGGGCTCCACATTCTTATCCCGAAATATACTGTATAAGTGACTTCTCTGAGTTGAATATAGACACAAATCAAGAAGCACTGTAGCCACCTGACTGAGCCATGTCCAATATGGCATCCAATATAGCGACCTCTATTGACGAGCCGTCACTGCTGGTGTGATTAGATTTAACGACTATTAGTCCTAGCAAGTTTAACATGCTGTTCAGTACTGGTTGCTAATGTCAAACATGCTAGTTAACGCCTTTAAGGCAAACAAGCTAATTGGACAAAGTCAAGCTATATTTCAAAACATGCTAATTAGCCTTAGTAAGGCTAACGAGCTAGTTTGACCAGGTCAAATTGATATCATAGATTTTAGTTGGCACTAATGAGACTAACATGCTTGTTCGGCCTCATCAAACTATCATTAACATGTTTTTTTAACATCTAACAATGTAAACATTGTAGTTATTAATGTAGCACCAAAAATATTCTCCCCTCCAGGTGAACTGTTCACCTTGGCCGTGCTGGACCGTGAGTTAGTGTCAGAGTACAAGATGGTGGCGCGCGGAACAGATGGCGGCGGGCGGTCCTGCCAGGTGGACATCTCTCTAAGAGTCTTGGACATGAATGACAATGCTCCGCTCTTCTCGTCCAGCCATTACCACGTTAGTGTGTATGACAACACTACCAGGAGCACGCCTGTCGCGGCAGTCTACGCCCATGACGCAGACACAGGTACCACCACAGGGATATCAAAATATGTATCCATATTAGGAATATTGAGGTTTTGGTATCCCCTACTGTACTATAGCAATGCAGCAACTATTATCTTTTCTTTCGTATGCTGAAAATATGTCAATACTATGAAAACTAATGAGACCGCAGTATAACAACATTAAACATATAACAACATGTCATTTTTCAATTGCACGTTAGTATCGAGACGCAAACCTCTGGTATTGATACTCTTACTAACTAAAAAGATATTGACGTCGCAAAATTTCAATATTATCTCTCTCACCATTCCTATGTCAGGTAAAAAAAACCCACAACTTTTACAAATAATAATTTTCTCAGGCGGCCCAGTAGTTTATTTTTTATTTCATCCAGTGCTTTAAATAGAAAAAAATAAGTGCCAGTTCAAATGTTCAAATTAGGGGTAACAGCAGATCATTAAGTTAATTAATAGTTAACTATATAATTGATCATATATGTATAATTAACAAATTAATAAATTGGTTAATTCATACCTTATTTGGTCATTTGACCAGTAGTCTGGCCTTTCTTGTTCTGTACATATATTTTTTGCTCGTTAGCACCAAGTGAATCAGAAGCGCTAACGCTCCTGTTATTAATGTCAAAAACAGGTACTTTAGTGATATACTCATCTGTCTTCAAAAGATCAATATAGCGAGACATTTGTTGTATGGTTTTTCCATCACACAACCAAGGAGTTTTATCTTTTTTGCATCATTGTGAATGGCCAAAAGCATCCTCAAATGGCTGTAAAGTTCCCATTAAATCCAGTGTACATCTGTCTCCTGCAGGGCAAAACTCAGAGGTACGATATACCCTGCTAGCGGGCGATGATGGTTATTTCTCTCTGGACGAGTTTTCTGGCGTGCTGCGTCTGGAGCGAGTGCTCGGCCCTGACACGCCGACACACTTTCAGCTAAAAGTGAAGGCGTCGGACGCTGGACTGCCTCGCCCACTCCACTCGGTCGCTGCAGTCACGGTGGACGTAGTGTCTCTGAATGACTACCAGCCCATCTTCCCCAGTGTCGAATACACTGCCCGGGTCCCCGAATCGCTGGCCGTCGGCTCACAGGTGGTCAGCGTCTCTGCGCTTGACGGAGACACCTCAGTCGTGTACAGCATTGCCTCTGGGAACGAAGATGGCCACTTCTTGCTGGACCCCAAGACAGGTACTACCATTTTCACAATTTTAAGATTTTTGGGCTGATGAAGTGTCTCATACTTGGTAAGGTTATATTATCCAGACTTTGGTTCAATAATACCCCTTTCAATTTGTTTGACAATTCATTCCCGAGAGCCAGTTTCCCTTAGCAACGTGAAAGCTGGTTGGCCTGTCTATCATGAGTAGACCCACAAAAATGTCTCAAGTGGCCATAACTTAAAAAACCCGACAAGTCGGTTCCATACATTTTTGGCTCAACTGGCACAGTTGCGACTAATTTGATTGAAAATATATATCAACACTAAAAGAAAAGAATTGAGCCCTCCAAGCGGTTTCTGTTCACAAAATGAAATTTGGTCGGAATGTCTCTCTCCTGAATATACGCACCAAAAAGGCTCAGAAGGCCAAGCTACTTGGGTTTTAATCTGCCACTTTTGCGCCAACATGATTTTTCTTTGTTCAGCACCTGAAGCCATTTTCACTTGGCAACATGAAATTTGGCAGGCATGTCTATCACAAGTAGACACACACAAAAAAAGTCTCAGAACACCCCATGCAAAAAGACCCATGCCATTTTGCATTCTTCAAAGATTAACTTGTCCAAGAAAGTTTGTCCGATTGCTGGAATTTTTAACCCAATACTGGAAAGATGCTTGCTCAGTTGTGAGTGCCTCGCCATAAAACTCTGAAAATGATCTGAATTTGGGATTTTAGTGCCATCTGAGCCTGAAAATGGCGGAAAAAAATGGGGGGGGGGGACTTCTTGACATGTGTTCCTCGATGTGAAGGATCTCACCAAGCAAGGAATAAAGTTGCTTGTTTTCAGAGCGGCAGAAAACCAAGTACGGATTAATTCACACTAGAATCCATATTTGTTCCTCCAAGGCGGCTGCGGGCTGTGTGTCTGCTTTCATGTTCAGGCCCATTGATTTATGCTAATAAGTCAGTGTGAAATATTCATTGATACACTGGATGACTACAACCAGGTTTTCGTAAACCACCTTTTTATTTGGATTTTCTTCCATTTGCATCCACGACACAAATGTAAAAGCATGTTTTAAAGGCGTTTTAATACATACATAGTGATGATATGATGATATAGCACATTGCGATATTCGTGAGTTGTGGCAGGAGAAGCCAATGTAGAGCCACAAAAAGTCTCAAATATCTCTGGCTGAAAAGACACAGGAAGTTTTTTTTTTTTTTTTCATTTTTGAAAAGGCCATTTTACGGAAAATTTCTGGGATCTGTGCCAGCTGAAATTAAAAAAAATTATATCAAGATTTCAGCGCCCAAACCAAATTTGGCTTTGCAACATAACATTTCTTTGGCATGCCCATTATGAGAAGACCCACAAGAAGGAAGCTATGCCTGAAAAGACACATCAAGTCAGCCATTTTTGTTTGAACCGGCCATTTGGGGATTGGGTGGAAATGAGATCAATCTTCTGTAGGAGTAGGTGAATGCGAGTGAAAATCCATCCTCAAGTCTGGGCAAAACATGATAGTGAAGTTTTACAACTCCCCATGAAACAAGAAACTAGCAAGTTACCACAACAAAGTCAGAACTTGAAAAAGCTAGTAACTTACAGTCATTTGACTTTTTTTTCCTCAAAATTCTCTAATGCTTCTATGACATTGCGAAGCATTCAAGGTCAAAATATTGTTGTTGTTTTTGTGTTGTTATCATCTTTGCTGAATCTGTGTTTGTTCCTTCAACCCAATCGATAGTCCTTCTCTGGTCCTAACACTAAATTTTTTCTTATATTGAACTTTAACTCATGTGGACTTTGGAGTCAAGCTCTGAGGTTGATGTTTGGACCTGCTGCCCTTCAGACACTTTCTAACTTTGGTTCTCCCAAAAAAGTCGTTAAAGGTCAGCCAGGCTCATCGATCACATTACACGCTCTCGCTCTCATTATCTGAGGGCAGACGTCAAGTTCGAATAGTGCAGATGCGGTGATAAGAAGTTTGAACACCAGGAGGAAAGCCCCGCCTTGGTGGGGAATACGCTAAACTTGGCGAGGTGGGCTGGAATCTCGAGGAGTTTTAATCAGAAAACCGGCAGATACGTATTCATTGCAATAACATTTTTATTCAATATAAGAATCGAATGTTTTTAGGATATTTTGAAGTCAGTTTTCAAAGAGGAAATAATGCGATAAATTCCCTTGCTAGGTAATGATAACATCCACCTTTCTCAAGAGAAATAAACAAGTGGACAACAACTGATGAAAAAAGCCCATAAAAGTCCACTACACGCGCATTGCACTTGTTACAGTATACTGTAATGCAAAAACTGAGAGCATGCACCATTATGACTAATGGAAGGGCTTCACTAATCAAGTATTCCCAATAACCTTCTCCTGGCACAAAAGAAATACTGGATACACAATGAAGAGAAATAATCCAGAGTCAAAAAATGTTGTCCAACATCTGTCATTTTATTGATACGAGCGGTCCTTTGGGCACTTATTTCTGATAACCACCATGTTACATAATAGAAATAAACAGAATGACAAGAAATAATCCACAGAGTCAAATAAAGTCTAATTAACGATTGGTCACACGCTGTCACACGAAATGTAGGCATCATATGACTGTTACGATGGCTTTTCTCGCCAGTTATTCACGATCACTGACATCGTGCGCACGATAAATAAACACAACTAGAAATAATCTCTTACCTGTTATTGACGATGACTACCTTGCTCAGCGAAAATATGCACAATTAGAAATGATCCTTAGAGTCCAAAAAGTGTGCCAGACGATCGTTCAAACACAGCCACATGCGTTATAGATGTCATACGACGTCAGTTTCAATACGACGGTTCCTCCCGCAAAGCATTGCTTGAAATGGCCACCGCGCACAATAGAAATAAACAAGATGACAAGAAATGATCTGTAAAGTTAGAAAAAAAAAGTCCACAGCATGCCAACCGTGCAAAATGAATTGGTAATTGGCTTCCCTTTTTCTCCTATCGACAAAATGCAAATGGAGGGTGCGTATGACGCTGCCTGCTTGCATTTAATAATTTCACACCACAAAACGAAAACAAACCTCTAGTCATCCCGCAGAGACCCGCGCACAAACACTAACAAGCTACAAAACTTTTCATCCATGCACACATAAAATAATTGCTTTATGCCCTCAAGAAACATCAATCAGCGGTGTAATATGATTTACTTCTTTAACTAGCCAGTACTTTTCACACTTCTTTCATTTTGATGCTTGAAATTGTACCAAGTCATCATTAAAGCGCAAACTTTCTTCTCTCATTCCACCACTGTCTAAAAAGTACTCATTGACCAACATAATGGGTCTGCCTATATTGTTAATTACTGTAAAGGCAACTCCATCCGTTTACTATAACGCTCACGCTCATAAAGGTTGCAGGTGAACCGGAGCTTTTCCAAGTTGACTTTGTACGAGAGGCGGAATACACCATGAACTGGTCACTAGTCAATCGCATGTCATACATCGACAAACCGATGGACTATTTCGTGTCTTCACAGATCCTAACATTCGTGTTTTCAGAACGTGTGAGGAAGGCCACAACTCAGTGTGCTGCTGAAAACCGGTCTGGAAAATTCACGCAACTGAACAGAAAGTTGTTTTTCAGAGCCATGCTTAATGTGATGTCCGTGTATGTATGCATGTTTGTTTCAGTATAACGACATGCACTAACATGGGCTCCGTGCCGCGGCGCAACGCCAACACAAATTTGCAGGGCAAATATAAGTGTTTTATCGAGGGGCAAAACTGATGGGTCATAATAAGAGCAAGGCACGTCTGACAGGAACTGAGAGGAGAAGAGATTTTCTGTAGGCACAGAAGGGACGAACGAGGAATCGACAGAAATGCAGAAAAAATAAACTATAAAACGAACACAAACTGAATATTTTATTAAGACAGGAAGGGCCAAATGTGAACTTTTTTTTTTTATTTAATGTGTAGGCCTTGCCCACACTTTTGGAGCTTTGTGGTTGGGCTCCCAACAGTGTTCAGGATCTAAACCGGGGATCGGCAACACGCGGCTCTGGAGCCGCATGCGGCTCTTTAGCGCCGCCTAGTGGCTCCCTGGAGCTTTTTCAAATGTTTGAAAATGGAAAAAGATGGGGGAGTGAAAATATATATTTTTTAATATGGTTTCTGTTAGTCTACTTGCTTAAATCTAAAACTAATCAGCCTCGACATTGAACCCTTTAAAAGCAATGGGTTGAAAACAAACGGTGAAGCAGCATATTCAGTGGCAATCTGACAGTATTCATAGCCATGTATCCTTTGAGCTGAAAGAGGACTTTAGGCGTTACTATTTATTCCAATTCATGCCCCACTCCAATATGATTGTTGTCCTGCCTAGAACTTTAGTGGGATTCATCTTCCTGTCTCAATCAACAGTATATCTTTAGACTGCTCCCATGTGGCCAAGGCAGGCACACCAGAGGGAGCAGCATTCAATTGATACAATGTGACAAAATCGATTTCATTCTTATTAAATCTCTTTAATTAATTGTGTCATTATTGTGTGTTTTTATAAAGCAGTATCGTTATGGCAGCCTAGTCTTCCTCATCAAATTACAGATAACACCCTACAACAATTTTTGTTGCTGTTTTTTTGGGAGGAAGCCTGGAACGGATTCATGGCATGTCCATTCATTTTAATGGGGACAGATTACTTGAGATAGGACTTTTTTTTGTTACAAGCATGGTCACGGAACCAATTAAACTGGTATTTTAAGGCGCCACTGTATTGACTGTTTTAAAAATCACACCAGCCTCTGCATGGTTAAGCTACCCAGTTTCAAAGTTAATGTTTTATTGTTGCCTAGCAACTACACTTAATCCCAGGCCTAACCCTAACATTGTCAATCCATAACCTGAACACCTAACCCAAAACCCTAACCTGTTGTAACGCTTGCCCAAAAAACAATATCTGGTTGTGTTTGTGTTTGGTAATTTGTCCATATAGCAACAATGAGTCAATCATGTAGGACGTGTGCATAGTTTGTCTTTTCATGCCACCTGAGATGAACACGAACAGCATGACAGCAATAATAATCACACAAAATGGAGAACACCATCGAATGGTTCATCCGTGGCGTTAGCACGGCAGTTCGACTTACTCTGGGGGGTGTAAATGAACACGGCCAGCGCCTTGGATGTTCATCCATTCTCAAGCGCTGATTGCGTCTGTCATGCCATGTGAAAAACGCTCAGTATGCAAATACCACAGGCGTCCAAGCGTGCCGCCGCTGCCATAGTTTCACACGTGTGCCACGGGTGGCCGTGAAAATGCATGGAATATCTTATGGTGAATTCTTTGATGCATGTTTAAAAGAGCACACGAACACTGATGCTGCTTCTGTAGAAATACTGCTCAGCCTGTGTAACTCAATTAAAAAAAAAAAAATTCAACAGGGGAAATAAGACTAAACAACTTAAACCGTGTGGTTCCACAAGTGTGCAAAGCCTCTTACAACTGGCATATGGCTTCAGAATTGATCAATCACATTCAATCACAGAGCAGTAGCGGTACACTTGGGTGCTTGTGGAGCAAACACATTATCATTCAGGTTATAGGTCAGTGCTTAAATATAAGCATTGACCTCTTCAAAATCTTGTTTTTGCCAAGGAAATTTTCTTTCCTATCCTATTCGAATGAGACGAACCAGAAATACGAACCTTTTGATGAGATTATGGACCATAGATGATGAAGTCCCTAAATTCCTCGCAATTACACGTTGAGAAAAATTGTCCTTAAACTGTTCAACGATTTTCTCACGCAAGTGTCCACAAAGAGGTGAACTTCTCCCCAATTTATGCTTGTGACCGACTGAGCCTTTGGTGGATGGTCCTTTTAAACCCAATCATGTCACCCACCTGTTCCCGGTTCAGTTGTGGGTTCACCTGTTCACCTTTGGTGGTGAAGGAGGTCAGTGAGGTAGGAGGGGAGGCGAGGTTGTGAAGTGCCTTGAAGGTGATGAGAAGAATTTTAATTTCGCCAGTTGCCCAACCATGTTGTAGAATGAATTCATTCCTCCATTCTTAGTTATAAAGAGATATTACCTACTGCATATTATTTATAAAGCCACCGTATACTGTGGTTAAAAAAATACAAGAAAAGGCAAATTACTTTTGAATGAGTTTTTGAATAACGTTCGGTGTTGACAGGCGTGCTGACCCTCGCCGCCCTGCTGGACTTCGAGGTGTCCCAGGAGTTCTACCTGTCAGTAGAGGGCACTCGGGGCAGGTCGTCATTGGCCGACGTTACCATAGTGGTGGTCAACGTGAGCGACGTCAACGACAACGCTCCCGTCTTCAGCCGCGGCGACTACAGCGCTGAGATTTCCGAGGAGCGAGCCCCAGGAAGCCTGGTGATCAAGGTGCACATCAACACACATACAGTCCGATGAAATATTTTCATTCAACGTACATTATGTGCACGATACCACAGGGATCATGTCGTTTGTTAGCTTAGCTTGCTCATGGTTAGTCAGTAGGACTCACGTTAGTAAGTTAGAATATTGGTTTATGCATTAAAAGCAGCAGATTAATGGCGGATACCCGCTGACGCAAACAAAGGCGCTAACTCATGTCGTATTTCAAAGGGAGTTACTGAGCGTCAATTTAGCCACAACTGAAATGTTAAACACTAGTCTATATTTTCTCTAATTTCCTACGTTGCTCTCAGTCTTGGCAGGTTTTCAGCAGTTTTCTTCAAACGTTTTTAATTTATTTAGAAACAAATCTCCTTTTTCACGGTCTTTAAGGTGATTTCATGACATTACACAAGTTAATGGTGTGCAAGGTGCGAACTTATCCCGCGTGAGCCATCATGTCAGGGACTGCGCGAGAGATAAGGTGGCAATGACACAGCTCAGTGGCTTGCTGATGGCAGCGTAATCACACCCTGTCTTGTTTGACATTCTTCTGCTACCGACTCCTCGCCGCACACCTTTAGCGCTTTCACATGGTCAGATTTGGCCGACATTGTTCTGTGGACACACAGATATAAAACATTAACATAGGGCCAATTAATACTAAAATGTCACCACACACTTTAAGATTTTTAATGACATTACAATTTTATCCACCTTCTACTACTTGTTTTGAATCTTCTCATGAGCATAGCTGTCACTCCCACAAACAGACAAGCGCCTTGCCTCACTCCAAGAAAGCAAACTTATTATAATTAGAATTTTTCATAGAATTTTTTATATTACTTTGGCAACATGTATCTGTGTATATGTTATGTTTGATTGTATCCATGTATGCAGCTGCCAAAGACACGTTTCAGAGGAAGTCAGAGATTATTTGAATGCTTGACAACCGCTGTTCTAATCTTATGTTCTTGATTTTTCTCCCTCTCCCCCTGAAGGTGACGGCCAGCGATCGTGACGGGCCGCCCAACAACAACTTGCTGCGTTACTCCATCGTGAGCGGCGACCCTCTGCGCCAGTTCGCTATTGACCCTCGGAGCGGCGAAATTAGCATTTGTGCCGGCCTGGACCGAGAGGAGGTGAGTCAGGCAGTGTGATGTCACACATCCCAGCATATCAGCGCCAGCACTAGACACTGAAAGCATGCACCCTTATACTTGAACTTTTCTCATTGTGATACTAGATGGAAAAAGCATGAAGACTTTCCGCACATTCTGACTGCTTTTTTTTTGAGGTGGGGGCTTCTAATACAAGGCCCGAAGGTTTATTGCATGACGCATCCATCCATTTTCCTAATCCGCTTATGCCTATGAGGGTCGCAGGCGTGCTGGAGCCTATCCCCACTGTCTTCAGGCAGTAGGCGGGTGACACCATGAACTCGTTGCCAGCCATTTGCAGGGCACGCTCAGACGAATAATCATTCTTATCAAATTATCTTTTATGATAGATGCACACGAGGTATAAAACAGTATAAACCAGCCATAATCCCAATTAATCAAACCAAATCGAGTTGCTACAATTGAAAATGTACTATTGTTGAATCGTATCGTACCCCATTTATGGAGATATGTACCAAATCTTTTTTTTACTTGAGAGATGCACATCGCTATTATTTGTGTTTACTTGTTTCAAGAAGTATTTCATGTTTTAGCAGATAATTGTCATTTAATGTCAATTTAAATACTATATTCATCAGTTTATTTCGTATTTTCTTGTTTTATTTTCAAGACCAGCTTCTGCATTGAAGACAGTCATAGAATATTATCAAACAGGTTTCTTTTTACTTACATAGAACTGTAAAACTACTTGTCAAAAATGCTGGTGATAGATGCTGTGACATTATTCAGTGTTTTTGTCCGTGATTCACATTTTCATTAAAAATCATCATATTACAGTCGACACCCGCATACTCGCGGTTTGGCATCCACTGATTTGCATTTTTGCAGATTTATTTTCAAATCCTGTTCAATTTAAAAAAAAAAGGACAAAAAAATAATATCAATAAAGAATTAGTCCCCCTCCCACTGCATTTTCCTGTTTGTCAATGATATGCGGATTTTCTCTATTTGCAGGCAGGCCCGCTCTCTGTCTGCTGTACTGTATTTACAGTCTGAAAAAGACAAGCACTGTAAAATTATAATTTCTTCATAAAATATTTTTGACACTGAACAACAAAATACAAAAAATTGTGAACCAAGATGAAACAAGTTTTATTTTAAGGTGGATTTTTTTTTCTCATATGATAAAATGGAAAATGCATTCACAGGCCGGATTAATGGCAGATTTGGCAATGCCGTTGTGACACAAGTAGCTGTGACATCATTTATATTCTCTAAATGATGTCCAAGCGCAAAATTACGATTTGAGTAGCCTAAAACTATAATTTTCTCTTTTTTGGTACCTTTCACAACTTTTGACATTGAAGTAGCCTTCCCCAAAACTTTTAACAAACGGCCTGAAACTTTCTGTGATGAATTCCTTTAACGATCTTACTTCTCATCTTTGATGTTCTCATGGGAGAAAGCCCACCTTTTGGGATTCAATGAAGAGAAAAACAACCCAATCGACCCAAAACGTGCAAATAATGACAATCTGAAAACTGTTTGGAGATCATTAAGAAAACTTGCCAATGTGTTTGTACAGCTCACTAAGACACGTGCGGGTAGATACAAATGAGCATGAGACCAGCAATTAGGTGGAAATAGAATCATTTTATCAGAACATAAATGGTCCATTTGTGTATGTTATGTCTGTCCAGCGTACTCATTACTCCCTGACGGTGCAAGCAGCTGATGAAGGCGATCCACCACTTTCCTCCGCCGTCCTCGTCACCATCACCGTTGCCGATGCCAACGACAACCCTCCGCTCTTCTCCCAGGTCCAGCATAGTCTGCTGTTACAGGTTAGACCACCTTGAATCTTTAAGAAAAAAACGGAAGAAAATAATTTGTGGAAAAAAAAAAATATGAGGATCCTTCATGGTTCTCCATTTTGCACTGTTTGTAAAAAACAGGAGTTTTGTGCCTGGTGTTGACCAGTGTGACTGACTTTAAAGTTTCTACCTTGAAACCATTTTTATTTAGATGTATTAGTTATTTATGTTTTATTTATGTATCTGTCGTGAGTCGAACCACAAAAAAAGTAAATAAGCCATGAGCGAAAAGACACGGGAACTCTGTCATTTTGGTTTGCAACAACCATTTTCAGCTCAATTGACTCAGTTGCGTCCAACGTGATTTACAAAACATATCCAGCACCCGACCCCAGTTGGATTTAGCAACATAAAATCTGTTCAGCATGTTGATCATGAGTAGGCCCACAAAAAAGTCTCAGGGAGCTATCTGGAAAAGTCTGCCATTTTTGTTTGTATCAGTCATTTTAGACTTAGTTGACTCGACTGAACCCAAACTGATGAAAAAGAAAAATCAGTCCTCAATGTCAGTTTGACATTTTGTCAGGATTTTTAACCCTGATTTTTTCCCACAAAAGAAAAATCTCAGGAAGCCATGCCTGAAATGACACAGGAAGTTGTTATGGTTGCTAAATGCCGCTGAGAAAGGAAAGGCTTTACCTTAGCCAGCAATTTTTCATTATTTTTCGTTAACTATAATAACTTTGCCCAGCAATAAATCCGCTGTTTTGTTATGGTTTTGTTTGAACAAAGGAGGGTGAGGTGGTGGGCAGTGGCGTCCTGCAGCTGCTGGTAACAGACAAGGACACCCCCCGCAATGGACCACCATTCTCCTTCCACATCATCAGTGGCAACGAGGACCGGCGCTTCCACGTGGACCAGGGTGGTCTCCTGTCTCTGGCGGCACCGCTCCGGAGGACGAGCCGAGCACAGCACCGCCTCAAGATTCAGGCAAGAGCGGAAAAAAAGTTGGCCCTCAACTTTTGATGCAGCTTGCATATATTATTGAATAGGGGTAAAGTTCCTTTAATATCATCTTTGCCACATTTCACCAACTACAGTATTTACTCAGGTCTTACAATTCTTACATATTCTATGATAATGTGTCTACACGCAGGAATCCCACTCACTCTGGAGATCAAAGGCAGGTTGGTGATGGTGATGATGATGATTATGATGTTGATTAGGGACCATGCGGGTGACTGTCTCCACACTACTAATGAGCTGATTGTCATTGTTCGTCCGCTTTCCTCCTGCTAAAACGCAGCTGACCCGGCCAGTTGCGGCATTCATTTAACTTTACCCAAGGGCGAGGGAGGGCGAGAAAAGGTGGCGAAAGGTTGATTCGGACAACTTTTGCAACCGTTAAAGCAACATTAACATTCATCGCAACATACAATGCATATTTAAGATATTTGAGATGTATGCAAGCTATGCGGCAAGGTCACAGGTCAGAATAAAATCATCAGAATCTGCAATCAGCCAGGCGAAACTTCCAAGTGTCTGACTGCCGGCAAAGTATTGATTTATTGACTCTTTATCGCGACAGTACACCGGGGAAGATCATCAATTTTCCAGAGGATGGACCCGACTGTCACAAGCTAAATTCTGGCCTGAAAGTCTTTCAACCGAACCCGGAGCATCGGTTCAAAACAGAAATCTTGGTTTTATGAATTTCACATTTCAGTGTACATGTCAAATTATGCCATAAACATCCACTCACATCCGTTAACTTCAGATACAGTGCAACCAGAAACTATTCACACTGCATCACCCTTTACTTCATTTTAAGCTCCAGGCTTATTCAAAAATTGATTTTTTTTTTAATCAGAATTCTGCCGACAATACCCACTGTCAACAATATTTTAAAAAATGGGATTTTTGCCGACTTCTAAAAGAATAAAAAAGTACAGGCTGAGAAAGGGACAAAAGGTTGAGATATTTTTGACCTTCCAACATTTTGATGGCCACTGTCACAATGTTTGATTGACATTTGCTGCCAAATTACTGCATTTTCCATTTTGATCGTTATCTCCATCCACAAAAGAGAGTGCTTTCAACCAGAAACAATCTGACGCTCGATAAGACAAATTATAGGAATTGTTACGAATAAGTCACCATGTAACGCATCTTTACACACTTGTCACATGTCACCTTCACTGACAAAAAGCATGAAAGGTCGAGGGGTTCGTGGCTTTAAAGGAGACGTTATGAAAACGTGAATGGTTTGAAGAAGAAGAATGTGTCATAAATTACTGTAAATTATTTTGGGGACCCATTCGCTACAGCTCACAGACTTCATGTGTCAGGACTGTGTGAATGTACCTTGTCCAATTTGGGTAAATTCTGTCCAAAAAGACCATTCTGGCATTTCTGACTCTGATGTGCCATTTTACAGTGAAACCAGCGTTAATGCGGCCAAACAGAGCTGCAGGTTTGTTAATTAGTTGATCATTGGGTTGCTTTGCAGGTTGGTTGTTTGGTTTGTTTATTAGTCAGTCGTTTAGGACAGTTAGTTTGCCGATTGTTTGGTCTGTGAGCTAATTCACTCTTTTGTGACTTAAAACTGGTTGGTTGGGGAGTTCAGTCAGTTCGTTGCTAGTAGGCTAGTTGGTAAATCGGTCACTCAGTTGGCTGGCTGTCTGGCTAGTGAGTTACTGAGCTGCGAAATGATAAGTATTGTCCATGATTTGTTACGCAAATCTCTGAACGTGATTTCATGACCACCGAAATTTGTTGTGTTCCAGATATTCAATTACAAATTTTATACGTGCACACACACACGCACACACACACGCACACACACACACACACACACACACACACACACACACACACACACACACACACACACACACACACACACACACACACACACAAAAACACACACGCACACAC